AGAAGGTGTGTAGAGGGAGAGAGAACTCGTAACTAGGGTTTTGGAATATGAAAGTGCAAGAAAAACAGATCTGAAACACGCTGCTGCCTATTTAAACCTGACAGGCTTGCTCGAGCGAAGACTTGGTCGCTCAAGCGACCAGACACAGAGAAGCTACGCTCGAGCCAAGAAATCCTTGCTCGAGCCAACAACCAAAAAGCTCGCTCGAGCGAAAGAAAACTCGATCGAGCAAAGAACTCAAACCCTCAGGTCTGAAACCAGACACACGCTCGAGCGAAGGAACTATCGCTCGAGCAAAGAACGAACTAACTCGCTCGAGCGAAGAAAAGCTCGCTCAAGCCAAGAATGCAATGCTACAGGTCCATACTGGACGCAAACTCTCGCTCGAGCGACCAAACCCCAGCTCGAGCGAAGAACCAAAAAGACATCTCGCTCGAGCGACAAACTCCTCGCTCGAGCGAAGAACCAAAAACCTGGACAGCCAACACTTGGTTTCTAAACCCAACCAACCTGAAACAAACCTGCCCAACACATCCTATAATTCCAAATGAGAAAATAAGGGACAACAACAACAACAATATACAATGACAGAATCTACGGAACCTAAGTCGGATACAATAATCAAATGGGAAAAGACCGGGGTCACTATATTAGTTGTAGCATTTCACATGCCATCTTAGAATAGTCGAGCCTATCTTAGTTGCATTTTGCATGTGTGCATTAGGCATTTCTGTATATTAGGATCATGCATGGATTTCTACCATAGCTTTTGTTTGGCTTGGAGTACTCGGTAAGTTTTATGCTTTAGCATCCTTGCATGCGTGTGAATGACTGCCATGATAGCATGCTTACCATGAGGCTTATGCTTATGTGATATAACTGCCTGAATGCCTGTGGGGATGTTGGTGATTATTTGAATTGAATAAATGCATTGACTGTAGGTTGCTTTTAAGCCACTAGATAGTGGCAAAATCATGTTTTTCTAAGCCTACCCGAGGTGCAAATTCACGTCTTAGCCACTTTCGGGTAGCACCATCAAAACCACTTTCAAAAATAAACATGAAATGTTTTGTTCCAATTCAGACGATCCAGTCTATACTTGTATACTGTGCGCATCACATAGTAAATCTAGGCTAATAACCGGAATAAGAAACGCATAATGTTTTCAAAAATAGATATCATGGTTAGTAAGAGGCCGCATCTTTGATCGCGGCGAGCGGGTGCTCACGAAGTGACCTTCCCCAATCTAACCCAAGTTCCTGAGCCGAGGCAACTTTGGTGATGACGGACACGTGGCCTTAGGCAAACGAGTCAGGGTTTCCTAAATTTTCCCAAAATAAAATATTTAGGTGGCGACTCTGTATCTGGCAAAGCAGTCCATGTTTGGCACTTCTTTCAAAATCTGTTTTCTCAAAACGATTTGCCGGATTTGGACTCTTTGGTTCAGATTTAGAACCGTGACAATTTGAGAGTCCGAACTGTAGTGAGCCCAATACGAGCGGAACGGGACCTCACCTTCTCGGGGCGTTCGGGGACGTCTACAGTTTTCTGGCGACTCTGCTGGGGATTTAGAGAACTTGACTCGAACTCATGATATCTGGTTTTGACTACACTTATGTGTTTCTTTGCATTGCATGTGCATTGGTGCGCCTAGGACACCGTGTTTGCCATCTGCTATTCCTGAGCGGTTTGCCAGAGGCTACGTGCCATAAGGCTTACCGGTTACGGGCTCTGCCAGTATGGGAACACAAACCCCGGTTTTACCAAGGCACCCTTTTGACCATTCGACCCAGTGCATATTCGGAATCCGTAGTGACCATTCCAAACTAGGACAGGTTGCTTACCCGTTTATAGGTTGTTTGAAATCGCTGCGTGCGTAGTGAAACCCTAGCTCCTGACAAAATAAGACAGGGAAACCCTACCCCAACATAGGGGTGTTTTGGCTCTTACTTGTCTGCTATGTGCTTTTAGAGTGCGTCTCTATAGGAATGCATGTATCAATCTACAAGTTTGGACATCAGGCTTGCGGATTCCAATACATTTAATGTCTTGGCAGGAGAATCACAAGATCCAGACGAAGAAGCTACAGACCCAAATCTTGGAGATTTTTGGGACTCACTCGCGGGCATTATTGCAGAAAAGATGGCACGTGAAAAAGACAGAAAAGGAAAAGGAAAAGAGGAATAATCCACGCCTTTTTGTCCCCCACGTATTCAGCATTACTTTCCAGCTCCACAAGACGCCAAAAATGCTTTCGGCCAAAAGCAGATTCTTTGTCTGCCTTATCCTCCAACTGTCCACCTACTGACACTATTCAAGATAAGGGAATCCAAGGAGATAAGATGCTCGACTCCACCACCATTCAGGACACGCCACTTGTCTCGCTTAATCTTATCCCTTTACTTTTTATTTTCTATATAATGGATGCTTCACTCTTGTTGAAGGCACACTTTTCTTTCTTTGTTTATCAGTTTTATAAGTGTGTACTCTCTCCCTCTCTCTCTCTTTTCAGATTGTAATAAAAAGCTTGAAGTATAATAATATTGCTGTACTGATTGTAAGTATCCTTGTCTGTATGTCCTTTTAAATGCATGACTGTATATACTCTTGCTATTTTAAATGATATATTAGCTTTTCATATTGAAAGAAAAAATAATTTTCTGAATAATTATTTATCTATTTGGCCTAATGACCCTTGGGGTCTCCAGCAATTAGAAATTTGTAATCAATTAATTAATCAGACTAAGTTGCAAATACAGGAACATATTTGCCTTTTGGCTACGGCCGTTAGGCCTCCCCCTTCAGCACAGTAAAATCATGAGGCCATAGATGTCATAATTAGGATAAAATAAAATGAAACTATAATTAATACTATTCCTGGTTTAGTGCTTAATGATGGGTAGAACAGTGTTAGGGTTAGTGGGACGTCACCCAAGTCGCGTAGAGTCAGACCATTAGCAGTGATTGCGGTTAGGTCATTCTCATAAGTCGTTGACAGACGTACTAGCTTTACCCTGTGTCAACAACTAGATAAATGAGTCACATGGTTCAAAAAGTAAATTTCTTAAGTTTGGTAGGGTATTTTGATCATTTTAAAGTGATTTGACACTTTAAAAAAATATTAAACCAAAAAGTAAAAAGTCAATTTTTTACTAACTTTTCGAATCACCTTTTAAAAAAGTCAAAAAACTTGATAAAGAATCAAAAATTAATTTTTTACCAACTTCTCAAAACATCCCTTTATTGAGGGGTGTTTTGGAAAGTTGGTGAAAAGCTGATTTTTAGCTTTTTACTAAGTTTTTTAGTTTTTTAGAAAGTGATTTGGGAAGTGGGTAAAAACTTGACTTTTTACTTTTTAATTTAATATTTATTTATGGTGTCAAATCAAATTAAAATGACCAAAATATCCTTACTTAATATAAGAAATTTATTTATTTATTTATTTTTCATAGGTTCTAATTTATAATTTTATACTTGCATTTTTGACACTTTCCAAAACCATATTTATTACGTTTTTGGCACTTATATTTTAAATATTTTATCAAAAAAACGTGACTTTTTATTTTGCCCTCAAAATGGCACTGACTTGAGTTACAAATATATTACACAATCTTTGTTTTGCAATAAATGAGAAGAGTACATGTTGGTTTGAAAAATAAATAGACGTGGCAGTGAGGACAATTTGTAATAAATGAGACGAGTACATGTTAATTTGAAAAATAAATGGACGTGGCAGTGAGGACAATTTGTAATAAATGAAAAGAGTACGTCTTATTTGAAAAATAAATGGACGTGGCAGTCAGGACAATTTGTCATAAATAAAAAGAGTACAAGTTGGTTTGAAAAATAAATGGACGTCGCAGTGTGGACACTGCCACCACCGCCCTTCGTTAAGGAGTTATTTAGATTGATTAAAATAAATATATTTTTTATTTTTTTATAAATAAAATATATAAAAAAATAAAAAAATAATGTGATAAAAAAAAATAAAAAAATAAATTATTTTGTGTATATCAATTTTAACATAACTAGTGTTACAAACATATTACACAATTTTTGATTTGTAATAAATGAAAAAAAAGTACATGTTAGTTTGAAAAATAAATGGGCGTAGCACTGCCATCGCCAGCCTTTATTGATTAGTGTTACAAATATTTTACACAATTTTGGTTTGTAATAAATGAAAAAAACTACATGTTAATTTGAAAAAATAAAGGACAAATTATATATACTTCTTTTGAAATTTAGTTAAATTATAAATATTCTTTTGAGGTTTCGGAAATTATAGATACTCTTAAAATTTATATTTTCATAATAAATTATCATTCGAGATTTATATTTTCATAACAATTTACCCCTTAATTTGTTATGTAAATAATACTTTTAGGGGAGTATCTGTAATTTTTCAAACCTCAAAGAAGTATCTATAATTTTATTAAATCTCAAAAGATATATGTAATTTGCCCAAAAATAAATGGACAAAGGGTAAAATAATCTTTTCACCCTCTAAATGACATCCAGCTGGACAGCTTCTTTGCTGCCTCCAGCTACAGTGAGACTACTTAGGCTACGTTTGACATTCTTTTTAGGACCTAAAATAGTTATAAAAAGATAAAATATATTTTTAACTTAATAAAATAAAACATCACATTTAAATTATAATTATTTTATTTTTTCTTTTATAAAATTCAAAAAAATTAAAAAATCTATTGCAAACAAGACATTTTAACCTTAGACTAAAATAGTCAAAAAAAAATTAAAAAATTAAAAAATTAACCCATATCCAAAACAAAAGCTGAGGCTTGGTTTGGGGTACACTAAAAAAGTTAAAAAATTAAAAAGTCATTATCCTATTTAAGTCACATCATCTTATTTAAGTCACATCATCTCTCTACCACATCACTTCAAACCCAACTCATACCCAATCCATATTTCATAAAAAATTAAAAGATACACTTATTTAGATCATCCCAAACCCCCCCTTAATTTTTTTCGTGAAACAAACTAAAATAGCTTCACTCACGGGTTGCCAAACACCACCTTTATCAAACTCTTCCAAAATTCCCATACAGAAGTGATTTGTTTTGTGCATAGATTAACGCTAGTGCTCATGGAGTCTTCTGATAATGAAAATCATGCAACCAAATTTGTGAATGACCTTAAAATAATAGAAGAAAAGGCAGCAGCACAAGCAGAAGTAGGAAGAGGAGGAAGAGGAGGAGGAGGAATCGAAGTAAAAGGAGAAGAACAAGAAAAAGTAGAAGAAGAAGGAGAAAAAGTAGGAGGAGAAGAAGGAAAACAAGCTGGAGGAGAAGGAGAACAAGAAAAAGCAGAAGGACAAGGACAAAGAGAAGGAACAGAACCAAAACAAGGAGGTAAGGTTACATGTCATTATCATCAACTGCCTTATAATTTTCCTCTTCATTGTTGTATCTCGTTTAGTCCCTTTGTCAATCTCATTCTCCTTTCTTGTTGGGTTCATATATTTTGCTTTATATTTTTTGAAATTGAAGGGACCAAAGTAACACACAAAATAGAAGACTACCAATATAATTAACCCTCTTTTTTTCTCTTTATTTTTTACATTTATTTATTTGTGTATTTTGAAGATATAATATAAATAATAAACTTATTTGTCTCTTTAATAACTTACACTTTTAGATGAGTTAACAATTAATTCTAGGAAAATGATTTGTAGCTTGAAACTTATTCTCCGAATGGCCCGATTTTTGAAAATGATGTCGTTTTCAAAAAGATTTTTTTTTTTTTTTGCTTCTTTTCCTTTCACTTCTCGTTTCACTTTTGAACCAAACCCAGAGAAAGAGAGAAGTAGAGAAGGAAGAAGAGAGGAAGAGGAGGGTGATAGTGGCGGTGGAGATGAAGATGTGTTGTTGATGGCGATGATGATGTGTTGATGGTGATGATGTTGCTGTTGATGAAGATGTTCGTCGATGAAGAAGTTCACCACCTCCGATCTTTGATTTTGCCTCTGATCTCTGATCTCCGCCTTCGATTTGTGTATGAGGATGTTGTGTTGAAATTGTTTTTCAAATTTTTACATTTTTTTTTGATTGATCTCTATTTTGATTTTTACACTTTTTTTTGGGCCCTCTGTGCTGTGTATCTGTGCTGTGTTGATGATGATGTGTTGGGGTGAGTTTGATTTTTTGGTTGATAATGAAGCTGTGTTGCTGTGTTGATGATGGTGTGTTGGGATGGGTTTGATTTTTGGTTGTGAAGATGATCTCTCTCTCTCTTTCTTTGCCCTGCTCCTTTCATTTTCTCTTATTTCTTTCTTCTTCTTCTTTGTTCCTCTTTTTCTGTGTTATTGAAAAAAAAAACCAAAAAATTAAAATGACGTCCTTTTAAATTTGAAAAATTTAGAAAAGGGAGGATTCAAGCTACGTAATATAATTGTTAATTCTAATATGATATCAAATTGGGCAATAGAAATCTTGTCTTCAAACCTAACACTGCCTAGATGATAATTAAAAAACACGGCATATCCTTGACCGTTAATTTCTGTTAACTAATAAATTAAATAACAATGATAGAGACCATTAATTTTGAAATTCTAAAAAGATCATTAATGACATGGTACTCAATAAAAAAAAATACAACACCAAAACCAATACATCAAATCATTCCTGATAAGATTTACTATCACATCATTAATGATAACACTAATTAATGTTCTCACTCATTTTTCTAAATTAAAAATGACTTAGACCTCTAATGGACCGCACTGGGGCCTGCAGCATGGCCCTTTAATTTTTTTCCAATCCACTTCTTCAAAGTCTTGACATCCTTTTCTACTTTTCTCCTTTTGCCACCAACTTTTTCTATTACATCTTTTTTTTCTTTTCACTGATAATCAACACACCAGCCTACTCCGCCAACTTTTGTCTTTTCATTATCGTTTTTTTATCATCACACCCACGCGGGCTTGTTCCCAACTTTTTGACAACACTGCCTATTACCAACTTTTGTCTTTTCATTATCGTTTTTTATCATCACACCCACGTGGACTTGTTTCCAACTTTTTGATAAATTATTGGGTAAATTATATATATTCTTTGAGGTTTGGTTAAATTACAGATATCCTCCTAAAGTTTTAGAAATTACATCCTGTCCTCTGAGATTTGTATTTTCATAATAATTTATCCCCTGAGGTTTATATTTCATAACAAATTATCCCCTAATTTCTTATGCAAATATAACATTCAGGGAGAATTCGTAATTTCTCAAACCTCAGGGAGTATCTGTAATTTAACCAAACTTCGAGGGATATAATGTAATTTGCCCTAAATTATTTTAGGACAAATTATCTGCACCATCGGCTCAAAAAAAAAAAAAAAAAAAAAAAAAAAATTGTTTGGTTGTTCACCAAATTTAGTTAAATTACAAATTTTATCCTGAGGTTTTAAAAAATTATATACCGTTCTATCACAATTAACGCCATTGATGGAGATATAAATTGACTAAAAATGCCCTTTGACAAATAATTATTATTTTAAAATAACTTATGAAATGTAAAATTAAAACGAAAAAGTACTTACCACCCTATAAAAAATTAAGATTTTAAAAATAAAAATTTAAGAACAAAATTATTTTTAGGAGACCAAATATTTTTATTGCGAAAAGTGTCATTATATTTTTAATAATGAAAATTAGACATTAATGATTAATTATTATCTTTTTGGGATCAAATTTTTGTCTCAAAAAATAAATTATTTTGAGACCAAATTATTTTATCTGAAAAAGTCTATTTATTAGTGACATTTTCAAAATTTTATCGTTAAAAACATTCAGTATGTTTGGTTTGAGTTTTTTGAATTAAGTTTTTTAAAAACTCAATTTTTTGGTTTTCGTATTTTTTTATTTTTAGTGAATATTTTTTAAATTTTAAACATTTTTTATATTTTTTTAGATGCACCTTACTTAGATGTATTTAAAAAGTAAAAAAAATTATAAAAAAATATTTTAAAATTTTAATAAATACATAAAAATATAAAAAATTTACTGAATTCTCGTATTTTTTTGTATTTTTGGTATTTAGTGAATTTTTAAAAGTTTTTTTTCACAATTTTTTTTATTTTTTTGGTATATTTATGTTAGGTATGTCTAAAAAGTAAAAAAAAAAAATTGCTTAAAATTTGAAAAAAATTCAATAAAAACAAAAAAACACGAAAAATAATAAAGTAGAATTTTTTGAAAAGTGTTTTTGAAAAAAGACAACCAAGCAAAGTCATTATTTTTTATTTTTCAGAGCGACTTTTTAGCGACTATTCTCAGGACGATAGAAATTGTTCTTTAAATGTCTTTTGTAACAAAAATTTTCACTTCTAGAGATCAAAAAAGTTGATTTCTAAAACTCTTATATATTATAGTGTCAGATGGTAAAAATATCATAAAATTAACAAAAAATTAAATAAGTTATCAATATAAGAAATGACTTATCAAAAGATTCTTAAGATATGTTTGGTTTGATTTTTAAAATTTTATTTAAAAAAATTAAAAATAATTATTATTTTTATATAAATTTATCTTTGGAGTGATAGAAATAATTGTTACAAATTAAATATATTTTTTAATATATATATTTTTTTATTAAATTAGTTTTTATATTTTTTAAAAAAAAATTTTGAAATTTTTTTCTAAACAACAAACAAAACATGGTTCCAAAAACTTAATTTTGTTTCTCAATCTAACATAATTTTTTTGTAAATTTTGTTGATTTATCAAAGGGATTTTAAGTTAAATTAGATTGTTTGGTGTTTTGGAAAGGTGTCAATGACAATATCGTCCATCAATTCATATTTTGGTGATGTTTACTAACAATTCTTAACATTTAGTTAATGGCAAACGTCAAATTGTTTTGAGAATATAAATCTTGAGGGGCGAGATGTAATTTCTAAAATTTCGAGAAGGAATTTATAATTTAGCTAAACCTCAAGAGGTATAAGTAATTTGCCCATTATTTTACCTTTTCTTCTTCTTATTTACGTGTTTATCATTTTCCTTTACCATATTTTTTTAGAAAAATGATTTAGAGCTCTAAATAATGAGCTCTAAATCCACAACTAGTGTGTTAGCAGTGGGGCCCATCACTGCTGATATGATGGACTGTCTTCTTTTTTTTTCTTTTTCTTTTTTTTTTTTTTCATGCTAGTTCATTAGAGTTGGCATTAGAGCTACTAGGTTAGAGCTCCCAAATAGTGTTCATTTTTTTTTATTCCAAAACCTATCTTTGCTGCCCTTTTTTTTTTTTTTTTTTTCAGCCCACATCACTTAAAAAAATAAATAAATTATACCCAATATTATTCTTATTAATTTTTTTTAAAACATGGTCTCTCTATTCCTCTACTCTGTTTTTTTTTTTATTTCAACCTCAAATAGCTTTCTATCCTCAACCAATGACAGAGCTAGAATTTTTGGCTCAGATAAGACACCATTGAGTTAAAATCTTAACAAAAATCACAACCAAACAGAAATAAATTTGATAGTAGAAATAAAAACACTATAATGCAGATGTTATATTTAAATATAAGCTCGAGTTAACCGATCTTAATCATTTTTTGTTTTTTTTTATATAATAATTTTGGATCATTGAATTACATAGTAATATATTATTACTTGTTAATTGCGTAATAAGTATATCTAAACAAATGGACTAATTATGAGTATTCATAAAAGAGCTAATATAACAAAAAACTCAGTGACATATAATATTTCTCTAATATAAAAAACTGGTGACACATAGTAATATATTAAATAAATTTTTTTGAAGAGAAAATGTAAAGAAAATAGTGATTTAAAAATTTAATATATTTGAATGGATTAAATTGAAACTTTTTTTTACTAGAGGCACAAGTGCAATTTTTTAAAAGTTGAAGGGGGCACGTGCGCTCCAGTCCTTACTTGCCTCCGTCATTGTCCTCAACCCTATTTGAGTTTGAAGGGACGGTATTACACCCATATTATGGTGAGCACGATTGTACACCATGCGAACCATCCAATCCGCCCTCCTTGACGCACCACCTAAGTCACTCTTTGGCGTACCACTCAAGTCGCTCTCCTTAGCAGACCACCTCAAGTTGTCCCTTGGCATACCACTTAAGCCTTCCTCCTTGGCGCACCACCTAAGTTGCCCTTCTTAGCGTACTATCTTAGCGGCCCCTTTGGCACACTCTCTAAGCCACCTACTTGCGTGCACCCCGTAAGCTGCCTCCCTTGGCGCATTCTCTAAACGGCCTCCCTTGGTGCACTAACTAAGTTGCCCCCTTAGTACACTCTCTAAGCCGCCTCCTTTGGCGCACTCTCTAAGCTGTTCCCTAGGCTCACTCTCTAAGTTGCCCTCTTGGCGCACTCTTTAACCCGTCCTTTTGGCGCACTTCTTCCTCTATTGCCGTCATCATTTAGTATCATGTCATAAGTTATGTGTGTGTCATGTTTGCTAGTTTAACATTCAGTTTTTCTACATCGGTTCGACATGAGCTTAAACTGTCCCGACCTTAAACTAGTCCGACATGTCCCTATGCTCTCTTCTGGATTTTGCAATCTATTTGCCTTGGATCTATCCATGTTTTATTTTTAGTTTTTTTCATCTTTTATAATTTCTCTCTCTAAACTCAAATTGATATTCCTACTTGAGTTTGAGTTTGAGAGGGATAGGGCGGGTGCCACTAGATTTAGTGTGAACTGAAGATGTAAAAGTCAAGCCACTACGACAAGCCACCGATAGCCACCTTCTCGAGCTTCTCCTGCCGACATCTATATATATGGTGTTATGAATACGTATGTATAGGTGTAGGGTATAGCTTTATGGAGGAATAAGAGATGAAAGTTGCTTAGTTTGGGTCTGTATTCTCACTAGATGAAAGTTGCTTAGTTTGGGTCTGTATTCTTACTATGGGTGTGATGGTGTCCTTGTTGGAAGAGGGAAGCTCGTTAGTAGAGTATAGTTGGTGTTCTTGTTGGAAGAGGGAAGCTCGTATGTATAGGTGTAGTTGGTATCCACCAAGCACCACCCCTCCATACACCTATCACTAATCCATCCCACACCATTCAACATTACCACTTTTTTTCTCTCTAAAATATTTGACTCTCACCCTAAAACTCTCTCTTCAATTCACCCATAGAGAATCAATTGGCTGATTATTACATACAGCAGAACAAAAAATATCGTCATATTCTTCTTTTATATTAAAATCCTTACAAATTAAAAAATAATAACTAAAAATTTTGAGTAAGACAAAAGTCTATTAAAAAGCTTATTTTTAAGTTGGTGCCAAACAGAACATACCAAAAAAAAATACTTCGTTCCAAAAAAAAAATTATTTTCAAATTTTTGTCTCTAAAATTCTAATTTATTGTAGTGTTACAATTTATGCAATATACTACTCCCCATATTTGTGGAAAGTAATCTGATAGTGACATTTTTTAAGAAAAATAATATTCAAGTTTATTTTTTAAATTTAATAATGTATAAATGAAATGATTGATTGATAATCAGAGAGAATATAAGATAAAAAATAACACATAACAATGATTGGTTGATTGATTATTGGATTTGAAATGTAAATCTAATCTTTAAATTTAAATAGCACAACTCCTTTTTTAAATAAAAGGATATGGACACATAATAATTTATGCAATAGACAGTAATTTAATATGTAAATTATGAAATGTTTTGCAAGAGTGTTGTTTTAGACACTGTGATTGGTTTTTTGGTTGGAAACGTATGCACACAATATTTGGATTTCTGCTTTTTTTTCTTTTTCCTTCTCTCTCTCTTTATTTATTTATTTGTGTGTTTTGAGGATATAATATAAATAATAAACTTATCTATCTCTTTAATGATTTGGACTTTTAAATGAGTTAGGATCTTATGTTCAAAACACACTGCGTAGGATACAATTAAAAAATATTGCACATGCTTGACCGTTAATATCTGCTGATTAATATGTATGCTTGTTTGGTGATGGATGCATGGATGGATGCAGAGAACAAGGATGAGGACTACTGGAGATACATACCACTCCTTAATGCTGCACTCGGGGGAGACTGGGATTCCGCCAAACGATGCATCGACGAAGATGAATCTGCACTCACTGCCAATATCACTAATTCCAGGGACACCGCACTCCACATAGCAATTATGAGTGGAAGGTCAATCGAATTTGTGAAGAAGTTGGTGGATTTGATGCCGCCAGAGGCGCTGGCACTGCGTAACTCTTCCGGTTGCACTGCCCTTATCAGTGCTGCACTGTATGGAAACACCAAGGCTGCGGTTATCCTGGTGGAGAAACACCCTACCTCCTTATATATTCGCACCGATCAGAATTCGTTACCGCTTCACTGTGCAGCTAACAATGGACATAAGGACACCCTTTTGTATTTATTGAGTGTCACAAAGGAGGATGATCCAGTGTCCAAGCCATTGGCATACCCTTCTGGTGCTCTGCTTCTCTTTCAAGTAATAGATTCCGAATTTTATGGTGAGTCACATCTTACTTGCTTATTGCCCAATTAATACAAAATTGCTTAATCAAAAAGTAGTCACGAGAATGACAATGTTCAAATATTATAATGAAACATCATCTAAATATAATTTAGCCATCTCCAATCCATACAATGCTCAAACCTAGAGGTTGTTTGGCAATAAGGATAAATTAGTTGAAAATCCATTAAAAAAAATCAAAAAGCTAAACAATCAACAAGTCAAAAAATTATCCAGTAATCCTGGAGGGATTCAGATCCTCTAAAATGATGCTGTTTTGTCTAGTGACTGAAAAAAAAAAAAAAGAAAAAAAAAAGAAGAAGTTAAAAGCAAAAACAGAGCAAACAACGGGTTCTATCGTGGAAGAGAGAGAGAGGCAGACAAGTAGAATCTCTTTACATCTCCTTCAATGGCGTCCTATACCCAATCCTATTTTGAAGATTTGTTGCCAATCATGGCTGACAAGTTAGGCGGGGAAGGGTTGATAGAAGAGTTTTCTAATGGGTTTCGGTTGCTGATGGACGGTGATAAAGGGGTCATCACGTTCAATAGCCTCAAAAGAAACGCTGCCCTATTAGGGTCGCAGGAATTGAAGGATGATGATCTGAGGGGAATGTTTAGAGAAGACGATTTCGACGGTGATGGAGCACTTAATCAGATGTAGTTTTGCGTTCTCACATTCAAATTAAGCCTCGAGTTGATGAAACAATCTCTGTTTTTGTTGAAGGAAACCCTTCAACAGGAACTGAAAGGCTTGTATTAATTTTATGGGTCCAGATTTTGTTATTTACTTTTCTTTAATTTTAAAGTCTTTGAAAGAATTAATAAACGTTATGGGATAGGGAGTAGTGTGAGTGTTTTGTGGGATTTGTAGGTTAGTTGAGTATTTTGTGGGATTTGTAGGTTAGTTGAGTTTCTGTAGCCTAAAGTTTAGGAATTGGTGAGTACGGAGTTGTTGGAGTTCAGTATTGAAGGCCACTAAGTCATCAATAAAGGTAACTAATCTTTTCCAAAATCAATTTATGTTTATTGGAGGTAGATTTCCCTCGAAGTGAATCAGAATTGTTCTAGTTTCTTGTTGTGCTTCCACCATAATTAAAGAAGAAACATGCTACTAACAGTTTGGTATTAGAGCAAGGTGCTCAAAAGATGGCCGAGGGAATTGTTGTGTTATCACCCCATGTGAGGGGTGATTCTCTTTTCCACTGAAAGCAATGCAGCAAGTCAAGAAGGATGGCTGCCAACCGACAAGCTGCAAAGATGGACGGCCACCGAAAGGTAAGTGAGCTGGCCATGTGTGCTGGCCAAGCTCTCCAACTTCCTATATCTTAGTGTATAAAAAGACAAGTCGAGAGGAGAGCTGAGAGTGAGTCAGAAAATCATTAGTGAGAAAATGTAGAGAGTGAGACAGAGAGTCCCTCCGTGTGAGAGAGGGGAGCTCCCTCTGTGTGAGATGGGGAGTTCAGTGGAAGTTGAGTGAGAGTGGGCTTCTCCTCCACTGTGTAAATCTCTTTGTAATCTCGATTTATAATGAAGCTCCGGTTACTTTCCCCTAAACGTAGGCATTGAGGTCGAACTACATTAAATAAATATGGTCTCTCCTTGGGTGTGTGTGTTTTTCTGCTTGGCATGATTTCTGGAAGGTCTTGGGCGAGATCTCGGATCCCCAACAATTGGTATTAGAGCTTGGTGGAGATGACCCAGAAATCAAGTTGCACCAAATCGAGTTTTGTGAATACCAGGAGGTGTGCCTCGACGAGTGGAGTCTAGACCTAGAAAAAGGAGGTGTCCTGCGCCTCCACGTGCAGCCTGAAGTTTTATCAGAGTACACTAGAATGTTGTCGGAAAGTTCAGTCCAATTGAGAGAGGAGCGGTGAAGAAGAAGAAGTGAAAATGGTTCAAATATAATATTTTGGGAACTATTCAACACAAGGGCTTTTCTGGCGCAGCAGTTCAGGCTTTGCCTTTTCTTTTTGGTCGTGGGTTTGAATCTCATGTAGCGCAGAGGTTAAATTTTTTTTTTGTGTGGAGGCAATGACGTAGTGCTGATATAAGAGTGACATCAACAGGCGGGTGGGTTGCCCAGATCGAACCTGAGTCCGACCTTGAAGGGTTCAAACTGGATGACATCAGTCCAGGTAGACGGGTTTGCCCCTACCCTTATCCGACGCAGTGTTGATGTAAGAGTGACATCAGCAGGCCGGTGGGTTGCCTAGATCTGACCCGAGTTCGACTCTAGAGGGTCCAAACCGGATGACATCAGTCCAAGTGAGCGGGTCCGTCCCCACTCAGATCTGACCTAGGAGGGTTCCTAGGTAGTGCCATCAGCGTAACGCGGTGGTGACTTCAGCGATGACACATGGAAGATGGCGTCAGACGATCAGTAACGGAAAATACCCTATGTTAATGGAATATTCCTGAGTGTTGGGAAATTGTAATGGGGGCCCAAATTTTTCCAGAAATTGTGGTGTGGCCCAATTTTCAGGGAAGTTTTACAGTGAGGCCCCCAGAGGTGCAGCGAAGGTTGGTCCTAGCTAAACGAACTATTTGAAACTCAACTGTGAGATCAAAATAATGAGATTCTGAACGGTTTCTTGAAGATAGTCAAAACATAGGAGTTTATCATCTTCAATAGTCAGAGGAATGTTGCCCGATGTTGTAGAACGCTGCGGATTCACTAAAGAGGTTAGAATGAGAGATTTTGATAGGATTGGACAACTAGATACAGATCAAGAGATAGATCATTAGAGACCAGATAAGGTCAGGTGTGATCAAATGGCAGATCGAGGGAGATCAGGATCGGTCAGGGGCGATTAGAGGATTGTAGAGGTGATTATCTCCGGAGTTGATTGGAAGATCTGGTTCAATCAAAAGAGAAATCCACTTCATCAACGGATAGATGATTTGGCAACAGCACAGGCTTAGAGAATGTTGCATATACAAGCTAGTACTAGTAAGAGACATGAACGAGTAGAACAATAGTTGCAGATGAGCATACTTGGCGCAAGCATAGAGGTACAAAAGCACAGATGAGCACGCAAGAGTGTCGTGCAAGGTACAGATGTACACTGCAGAGAAGACATGGTTAGAGTATGCAGCAGCAGGTTGTTAAAAGTTCATAAGAACTTTTAGACAAAGAAATTGGGACGGGTAAAACGCAAGAGTGCACGCCAAGGTGTGGCAAGTCTCTTTTCTCTATGGTGGTTTCTTTAGTTCCACGGCAACGAAGAATAAAGTTGATGCAGATCTCTTAAGCAAGCTTGAAGCAGGGAGACCAGGAGCTATGAGTGTGAGCACTATGCAAAGAATTGCAAAGCTGATGATGCTTTGACATATGGAGCTACTGTGAACCATCAATCTACTAAACAACAAATTAGGGATTGCAAAGGCACAAACAACGAGCCTATGGGAACTCTGGGAGGTTGTTTAGAAGTGCAGAGGGCAAAGATTGATAGTTCAAAGGAAAAGCTCTGAGCGAAGAAGACAAAAGAAGTTGACCACACAAAGCGTGTTGTTTGGAAAATAAAGAGTGTTTTCTATTACTCCAGTCGTGTATTGTGATGCATGGCAGGTTAGTGGCATTCTAGAGAGGAGTTGCAATGTCATTAAACACTAAAAGGAGTGCAAGGCAAACCGGGGCAGAGGGTGCAGGGCATCCAACTAGGGGGTGCAGGATATCTTGGTTATGCAAGTTTAAGCATATCAGGTGAAGACATCCGAGACAGGGAAGCATGGAAGTGATCTGTGAGAGATAGGAGTAAAGGGCTTTCTCCGAGAGATAATTAAAGATTGGTGTGAGTTGAGTGAGGATGTAGGATTCCTTCATCGTTTTGTATCTCTGTATTTTTTCCAGTATATTTTCTCTAGGTTCAGGGGACGCAAGCGTCTCAATGAGGAGATGTAGACTATGCTGGATTTTGGGCGTGACAAGATTGACAGCAATTTTTGTTGCAGATCACCTCACATGGGTTGAGGGGTGATTTGTTATGCTATCCCCCCCACCCATGTGAGGGGTGATTCCCTTTTTCACCAAAAGTAGCGTAGGAAGTCTAGGAGGACGGTTGCCAACCGACAAGCCGCAAAAGTCGACGGCCACCAACAGGCGGGTGGGTTGCCCAGATCGAACCTGAGTCCGACCTTGAAGGGTTCAAACTGGATGACATCAGTCCAGGTAGACGGGTTTGCCCCTACCCTTATCCGACGCAGTGTTGATGTAAGAGTGACATCAGCAGGCCGGTGGGTTGCCTAGATCTGACCCGAGTTCGACTCTAGAGGGTCCAAACCGGATGACATCAGTCCAAGTGAGCGGGTCCGTCCCCACTCAGATCTGACCTAGGAGGGTTCCTAGGTAGTGCCATCAGCGTAACGCGGTGGTGACTTCAGCGATGACACATGGAAGATGGCGTCAGACGATCAGTAACGGAAAATACCCTATGTTAATGGAATATTCCTGAGTGTTGGGAAATTGTAATGGGGGCCCAAATTTTTCCAGAAATTGTGGTGTGGCCCAATTTTCAGGAAAAGTTTTCAGTGAGGTCCCTAGAAGTGCAGCGAAGGTTGGTCCTAGCTAAACGGACCGCTCCGGACGCAACC